ATTAGAATTTAAAAAACAAACATTTTTCGCGCGCTTCGCGCGCATTTTTTATGTTAAAGCTTGTGCTTGCTCACCTTTGCCTTCTAAGTTATAACACATAGTCCCAAACTCAAGAAAGAAAATTTAAGCTAAAATCGTTTAACCTATTAAAAAAGGGCCTCAATGTGTAATGATGTTGAAAGAATATGTTTGTAATAAATAAAGCCATAATGAAAATACTTATATTCAGTTTTTAAAAAAAACGAGTGTGGCCATATATAACATAAGAGCATTTCTTGTTGAGGTAGGCCAATTTCCTCTAAAAATTGCACAATTAGGGAGTTTTGATCAATTCCGACGAAATTAGAATTAAAAGCAAAAAAAAAATTTTCGCGCGTTTCGCGCGCATTTGTTAGGGTTGAAGCTTGTGCTTGCGCTCCTTTGCCTTCTGAGTTATTTAAAAACATAATAGTCCCAAAACTTGAGAAAGAAAATTTAAGATAGATCGTTTTACCTAAAAGAAGGGCCTCAATGTGTAATGATGGTGAAAGAATAGGCCTATGAATTGTAATAAATAAAACCACGATGGAAATGCTTATATTTAGTTCCAAACACACGCGTGTGCCCTATATTAATATTATAATAAGCCATGCCGTATTGTTTTCTATATGGGGGGGGGGTATCACACCAAGTCATAAATTACTAACCGGGAAAATTATTACCTTTGCCCCCCTCCCCCGACCCAAGACCCCTGTTACGCGCCTGCTTATAAGTGGGGCCCCCCCACTTTGAAAAACGTTCCGCCGGCCCTGATCTAATCAGGAGCCAGTGTAATGAATATTAATTAGATTACCTTAAGATTATGCCTAGTTTGTTCTAGCTTTAGTCTGAGGATTAACTCGAAAAAAGCATTATCTACATTGTTTTTCTGATAACCTGTACAAATGATAATAATAAACTGTGTAAATAGTCTCCCCCTCTCTCTCTCTCTCTCTCTCTCTCTCTCTCTCTCTCAAAAAGTCCTTAAAAACAACAGCGCATATTTTGACGCGCTTTCTTGATTCCACGAACTATAATCTACTTTGATTGTGTTAGTTCGTGATGTGAGTGACGAATTTATGTTATTTGATGATATTAATTTTAACTGTCATTGCAGATGTTACTGTTGAACCACGTTCTCTGACTGTTGAGAAATCTAATTGTGCAAGTTTCAAATGTGTAACTAAAAGTCCACCTATCACCATCACATGGTTCAAAGATGGCAGTACACTTAATGTGTCTAATACTAAAAAGTATCCACTGTCAGATACAAGATTAATAATCATTGATGTCATAAAAGAGGATGAAGGAAAATACCAATGTGAAGCAGAGTATCCAGTTAAGTGTGGTAATGAAAGAAGTATAAATGAAGGGATACTGTTACTTGGAAGTAAGTACAAATCAGTCAATGATATCCTTTTATACTCTTTAACAAATACATTTTCTTTTTTATGTTAATCAAATTAACACGATAGAAAAAAATCTTTAAAGGGAGATGCGTGGATGAAACAAATAATAATTAATATAAAATAGGGGGATGGGCGACTACAATGACTGTGACGTAACATTATTTCGGAGCGCTGTATTCGAAAATGAGGCTGTGTTGTTACATGCTGGTAACGACACAGCCAACTGATGAGACTTCGTTGCGAGGGGAAAAATTGGGACTATGGCGAAAAAATTTAGTAATAACAATGTAATAAGTCGATTGCATTTTTGAAGAATGGGCTTTCAAAAAGATCTGTTTGCTGGTTTTGATAAGGAAGTCTTGAAAGTGATGATCTTAAAAGTGGCGTTAAATAGGTTTGTTACCAACCATCAGTGGCGTAGAAAAATATTTTTCATTGGGGGGGATGATTGGCGTGTTAGCCAGTGTCGTAAC